ACTAAAGCAAACAATTTTTGTATAGGAATATATTGACGCAAGTGCCGCGATAAGTCATAAACAGAAATAATAATCAATGAATGGAAACATAAAATGTTCATTAGCAGCCTACTTAAAAAGTGTTTCTGTATTGAAAATTTTGATACAAATTTAGACATTGCATTCACCAACAGTCATTCATACTTGGCGACTTTAAAAGCATAATTAGTTGACAATATTGGCGATCATTGAAGGCAGCCAAACGGAGTGGCAGTGATCTATACTGCACTACCACAATCGGCATTTACGCTTGCGATTTCGGTCATTATGGAGAATTTTACTAAAAGTAAAAAGACAGACATGCATATAACGTACGGTGCTGCTAATGATAACGGCAGATCAGTGCTATGGCTTTATCAGAAACGCTTTCCAAGTTGACACATGCAGGACCACAAAAAGCTTTGGTAAAAGTAAAAATGGTTCATATATCGCCAGTACTGATAAAAGGGGTAGATCAAGGACTGTACGGCACCAAAACCTAGAAGAAGTCATTTTCGACCATGTGGATGAAACACCCGGCACAAGTACAACACATATTCACAAGTCATTCCAACGATGCTATCAGGCCAGCATTACTGTCGGTGGTATGGACTGTGAGCATTTATTATAAATATTGCTGTAAAAAAGGCATTTAGCAACACACGACGTTGTACTTAAGCAATGTTTCAATACTTTTCATTTCACGTGTTATTTTTTTCTGTATATACCTAAAAGTGGCACTTCTGCCTATATATTCCTATACAAAAATTCCTTTTTTAGTGAGTTGCTCCACCCCCTCGAAGTTTGTCCATTGATTATAGAGTCATCCTGTATATAATTAGATTTTATTTATATATATATAGTAGAAATACAATAAATACCATACCCAACTTAATCGCTTACATTTTTTAGAATAATGACAGTAGTATGAAAATACATGTTAACTGTTTAGTTTATTTTTCCAGAATTAGAATTTATTCAAAGGTAGGTACTCTTTAAAAATTAATTTGTCAATTTTTTTTAAATAGTTAATTACAAATACATATTTTCTTACCTTCCTTTTTTTTTTTTGGCATCTTTTCCAGTAACCTCTTTTTGTTTAGAATGACGTGATTATTTGAAGTCCATGCGTATGGAAAAATCGATGGAGAAACACAGCAATGAGTTGTAGTAAATATTTATATAAATAAACTGAGGCAAAACATTTTCAATAGGCTTGTTAAAGTTAACTAACTTTCAAAGTTTCAAAATACTTGAGAAACTTTTGAGCTTAAAGAACAAACTTTCGATCCATGTCTTACTTTAAAATCAGCATATTTTACTTGGAGTTCATTTATTGGTGGATATTTTCATAAGAAATTATATACGGACTCTCTTTTGACACATATTTTAATATTTTTTATGAATAACTAATTTAATTTTCTACAAAAAAAGGAAAAATTCTTTTATTGAACTTAGGTTAATAGCTTAATTAATCATTCACAATTAATTTGAATATTGTAATTCATTCCTAATATTTTTTTATTTAATTTACAATGAGTGTTTATTATTGTTTCCATTAATTACAATTTAATAAATTTAATTGCAATTAAGCAAAATTAATTGCAAAAGTTAGAAGAATTGGAATATGCTAATGGTAAACATTTAAGTGCAATCAAACGAAGTGAACGACGTTTATGAGAAAAGGCATTTCAAATAAAATTATAAAGAATTATTTTAATTACTTTAAGGAAATTTATTTTGAATGCTGATTGTTTGTAAGATAATCGCGTTACACTTTGTATAACAGGGGGGAAAAAAGAGAAATTCAAAAGCGGCGAAATTGTGACCTAACGATAATGCAGTTCATCAATCCGCTATATTGTTATTTGTATTGTTTGAGAACCATGTGCATCAGAAACCGTGGAGATCAGAAAGATCATACTAAATATCTTGCACTATATTCACAATCTACAGCCGCTTAAATTCGGAAGGACTGACATGTTGCCTGATTGGTTTAGCAAGAATGGGCAGTTATAGTATGGAACCTGAATCAGGAGGTTGCTTTGTTCGCAGCGTAAGTATCCTAACGAACAATGTCACGATATCTGGAGCTTCACAGTGACAACTACTTCGACTTCCTTTAAGACTACGGCATATTAATAGTGATGTCCAAAGACATCAATGGCATCATCATCTGGGCACAAGAGTGGCACTATGTCATCTTTTCACACGGGTCCCGGTTCTTCATGTGGCATGATCATAAACGTGTATGGATTTTATAAGAAGAACGTAATTGGCTTGCTTTTATTCGATATCATCACATGCACCCTATACGTGGCGTGATGGTATGGGTTGTCTTTGATTAGACAACACAAACGCTGGTTCGCGTCAGTAGTAACATGGACAGCAATCCGATTTTAAGATAGCGGTGGCTGTAACTTTTATTAGATTTCTAGAAGACGTAAATTTTCAGCAAGATTGCGTATTGTATGTTATGTCCTAACTTACCTCGATAGAACTTGTTTGACTATCACCTTAGTCAGCACTTTCTCCAGTAACTCTCATCCATTGAAAACATCTGGTTATAGGTTTCTGAAAGAATGGGCTACCATAGCTGTAAAGATATTATGGTTGATGCTGTGGCACAGATTTACTACAGAATGGGATAATTTGCCTGTATGTGTCATTGACGCTCTGGGGGGGGACAGGAATTTGAGCCGTATTAACTGCAAGAGGTGTCATATATGAACCAGAAAACCTCTCAATTACCTGCATATTTATAATCACGTTTTCTTCCTTTACTATGCATTATACGTACAATACATACAGTTTTGTTCTTTTCTTTCTTTTAAAGTGTAATTTTAATGATCAGAAGTAATTCATAAGAGGCATCTAAGAACATATGAACAAAGTCTAAATAAGGTTTAAGTTAGTTTTGTTATTTCATCATTTTAAATTTTAAAAGACGTAATTGTTTTTATATTAAAAGTATGACAAATTATTTTAAAATACAATTTTTCCAGAACATGCTTAAATTGTCGTAATTTTATCACAAATACATCAGTATTATTTTTAATAATAATAAATTAGATTTTCATTTTCTAAGTTTATGGAAAACAATTCTATATCATAAGCATCAAACACATATTTCTTGTTACAAACTCATGCCGTTTTTTTTAAGGCTTACTGACTTAGAGAAGTGCTTCTCAAATTTTCTATACTAGTGACCCAATTTCAATCATAAAGTTCATCACACCCCCACCTATACAAAAACAATGTATTAAATTTAATAATGATATGCTTTGACACTAATACTACAATACGACTGTACAAATTAGTATAAACTATACAGATTATCAAAATCAGTATTAAATTTTGTATTCAATTCTCTGTTACGTCCATTGAGTCAGTGGTTATTATTAAACTTGTTCTTAACTTAGTACTGTTAAACTAATTATAAGGTATATTGTGTGCAGTACTGATTCATTTATAAGTGTATTATATCAGTGTAAATGTGAATTTTTTATTATGTCAGAATGTATTTTGTTTTGCTTCCTTTCAGAAAAGTAATAATTTTTTAAATATTGTTTTCGACTTTTCGATATACTCGCGACTAGGGCTATCCCGCACCCTAAAAAGAGCGCGTCCCAGAGTTTGAGAAAGGCTGACTTAGGTTGTAATGGAAAACCACTATAGATTAGAAAAACAGAAAAAAATCACAATGCAAAGAGAAAGACTATTATTGTTGGGAATTATTTGATATTTTTCGTTCTATAGACATTTATCTTTCATATATATTTTCGAAAGAGAAAAATATAACTATATCAAGAAACGTTGCTTAGAAACTGGGCTTCAAACTGCAGTATTTTTCTTTCCGGTTCAACTAAAAAAAACATATTGGTTCAATTCCAGTTTTCTTTCCACAACAAACAACAGTTTGTAGTTCAGTTGCAAATGGATAATTTTATTTTATGTATATGCTTATCTTAAATCATCTATACTTTTTGTTCATTCAACCTAATTAAATTTTGCTTCTACAAATAATTTCATGTGAAACTGATAATAAAAAAATTTCTACTTAGGTCAACAAAGAAAAATTTTATTTTAGTACCTTTTTATTAAATAGTTACAATTAATTTTAATACGTTTATACATATGACAGATTCACAATTTTAAGTGTGAAAATAGATAGCTATTTTCCATATTTGCCTTTCTATGTATGATGTTGGACTATTTTTTTTTGTTTGTTGATAATTATTCATTAATTAAATTTAATTATTCTAATAAAACAGAATAGTAAGAAAGAAATCCCGTTGTCCAAAATTAGGCAATCCCAGGTATGATTCGAACCTACGACCTTTGGATCAGAAAACCAACGTGCTATTCATTGCGCTACAGGGACTCAACGAACGGTTTTACTTTCTATATATAATGTTGTACTATTATTTTTGTTACTATTTCGGCATTTTTAATATAATTAATGAGTTAATATTTGAAAAATTGTATTGACATCAAGTGTCATCCACTACAAGTTTTAAAAAATGTATTTCAACTTGAATGGAGGAATAGAAAGTATTTTATTAATGTTTGAAAAAATGAACAAGATATATATATGGAGAGAGTGAATTAATGGTAGGAATTCAAAAATACTAGTGAACATCAAAACAGGAAATCGAGGAGCAATGTACATGTTTTAAAGATAATTATACGGTTGGCTTTTAATTAGAAAATGTTGATAAGTTGGCTTCAGTAACAAATTGACTGAAGATATATCGACCGAAATAAACCAATATATTTTTCGTTTCAGTTCCGGTTTGAAGCTTTGCTTAGAAGGACTGAGTTAATTCAGCTTACAGCATAATGAATCAAAGGAACTTTAATTTTAAAAAAAATAGTTCTCAGCCCAATTGACAAAGACGTTCTCCATAATGTAAAATAATTTTTATTTCATGCATTTATCTTTACTATTTCTATGTGAATAAGTCTTTATGCCTAACTCTCCAAAATTTGTGAAACTTTGAGAATGATTCGAAATAATTGTGTTGCGTGAATAAATTTTGTTCTTCAAAAATCAAAATACGCCTGAAATTGTACATGTAAAACCTTCATGTAAATCGAACACATACCTGTTCAGAAAGTTCAAAAGTTTATGTATCTCGTGTATGAGATTCGTCTTTGTATAGAAAAAAAAAATTATTAAACAACACATCTTAACGAAAACGAAAACGGGTATTGGCGTTTTCTCTTTGAAAAAAGAGGTAAAATTTCCGTTAGTCAGCATGAAGAATCTCTTTTTTTAAAACTGAGACTGAAAGACCACCATTAGTTTACTGTCCATCGATTTCGTATGAATAATAGAGGAATTTTAAAGGATTTCACGCTGTATAGGAGTTTCCATTTTACTGACTTAAACTGTGCCATAATCGATTTCAGAGCCGTACAAAAGTGGACAGGAAATTCAGATAAAAGGCAAGAAAGTTGGTAAAGGATATCATAAGTTCTTTCAAAAACCAAATTTCCTTTTGCAGGAAACTATGGAAACTTCTTTCGATACGTTTTTGAAGGACATTCAACTTAGATTTTGAATAGTGTATTTAATTTTTATTTTGTTGATTACTTGTATTTTTTTAAAATCCTCCCTCAAGAGGTTAGTTTTTTGCCCCAAAATGTTTAAAAAAAGGCACATTTTTTATTGCATATATCTAAGTAAAATACTTAACAGAGTTCGAAAGTGGAAGAATTCTATTTAATTTTCGATTTTAAAATTTTGTACACTATTTTTTATTTTATGACTGTAGAACACCAAACCCCCTAAATCAAGCGTGTCAAACTCAAAGGCTAACAAACAAGTTTTAACTTTAGGTGGGCCACAAGAAAAATCAATATTCTATGAAACGTAAGTTTATTTCGAATAATGCATCATAATAAACAAAACAAAAAAAGAACAAGAAAAATGTAATGTTTACGTCCTGACACTAACAAAAATGTTCGTTGTGAGCTTCATGCTACCTGCGGGCCACGCGTTTGTGGCACCCCTGCCCTAAATGTTTACTTTTTATAAGTACTCTCTGCAAGGTATAAATAATGTTTCGTACATCTTAAAAGTTCTCTCATACTTATAATTAAACTTCATGTAATTACCTTTTTTTTAAGTGGTTGAAGATTTTGTTTGTGTGTGCATATATGCACACACATACACATGGAGCGGGGTGCAATACTAAGACAGAGGGGACAGAGCTAATATCGTTTATTTATTTATTCTTTTTATCCATTTTAATTTCTTCTCAAGATACAAATTGCACATTGCCTTGCCAGTCTGTGTTCTCTATCGAATACTTTCAAGAAACTAGATTCCTGCCTTCAGATAAAAATTTCCGCTTTGACCACAAAGAAAAGCTCGGGCGAGAAGTATTTCAGTGTTTTGGACAAACTGGATCTCTTAAAAACACTAATATCACTAATCTCTCTTACTAAACACTCTTAAAAACTAATATAATCTCACTAAAAGATTGTAAAATATACGCAAAAGAAAGTTAGGAAGAAGATATCAGAGCATGTACAGCTTACGGGTAAACCGGTTGTGGGTAGCTTTCGGTAGCCCGTATGGTCAATTGGCAAACTGAGTAGGAGGTTAAAGACATCAAAATGAAAATCATTCCTTTTAAAGCTAAGTTAATATTTTGATTGAGTGAATGATTAGTAACGTCAGACACGAGTGCTACACCATTTGCAACACGCGTGCTATTGGTGATGGATCTCGTAATTTTGAAGCATTACTAAGTGAAGATGATGCAACTTGAGCTAACACCACCACAAATAATGAAATAGGGCGACCTTACCAAGCCAACTGGAGGATTTTGAGATACGACACATTTATGCATCTGTCTCTCAGCACTTTCAGTCTTCTTTGGCATTAGGGCTCGAACTCATGCCTTGCTGGTCATGAGCACGTGATCATGACAACTAGATTACTGAGTCCACATGAGTATTTTTGAATAGATAAGTCTAATGTAACATTTTTTTTGAACATTTAAGGTAAGCTATTACTAAATATAGTATTGGTCAACTAGGTATCAATAAAGCTTTCATTTCTTCCAATTTTCTAATGAGTTATTCAAACATATTTTTATTCTGGTTAAAATTTGAAAATATTTATTTTCTTTAATAAAATTAAACCTGCGAAAATGCTGTTTATAATAGAAGACAAATATATCCTATATTTTAATAAAAAGTCAATACATATATAAAAAAATAGAAAGGTGTTTATTATGACTTCATGTAATATAGAATTTAAAATTATTGTTTTCTTTAAATTTTTTCACAAAAAAGTATTAACTTTTTTATTTAACCTTATGAATACTGTAATTTTAGAGAAACTGTTTTCTGTTATTACTGAGAGGCAAATCAAAATTTTTCCTTTGCGTATATTTTTTTACCAAAATATACATATAACCTTTAAATGATAGAATACGCTCACATATTTTAAACTCATCGCCAATGTTCTACTGCAGTGGTGTGAAATATCGAGGCCCACAACGAACATTTTTGCTGTCCGTTCAGTGTATCAGCACACAATAATATGTTATAAGATATCAAAACTTCTCCCGAAATAGAAAATATACTAGCAGAGAAGATATGTCATGTGTTAAGACATAAACATTAAATTTTTCATGTTCTTTTATATATGTTTTTTATAATGTATTTTTCGAAATAAACTTATGTTTCTATAAATATTGATTTTTTGTGCGACCTACCTAAAGTAAAACCTTGTACGCTTGGCCCAAGTTAGCCTTTGAGTTTGACACCCTTACCTTAATGTGTTAACTCTACAAGAAAATATGATTTATTCATAAATATAGACAAAGAAAAACACGTTTTATTAACTAAAAATCTCTCTCTGTGTATATTGTTACGTAGATCCGGGTTCGAAGATTTTATGCAAAACAATCACAAAAAAAAAAAAAAAATAAACAGTTCTTTAAGAGCGATGCGAATTTATTATCAAAAGTCCAATCCTTTAAATACAGGATTCAGCGGCAATATTCACAGGGTAAATATCCGAAGGTCTTTACACCTTCAACAACAATCAAACATAATAATCAGTGTTTAAAAATACCCATAAGTAAAGATTATTCACTAGCACAGCCGAGCTAATCGCTAGTCAAAACAATCCTCACTACTCGCTGGTTTCATCTAGACTGATCACCGTATCGGCGCGCACCTTTATTTATAGGCGCAACTGAAACTTCCAGAAATAAAACCGCTCGTGTCATTGAACGTGACACTAGTGTAGAGATCCACTACTTTCTAGAAGATTCCAGAGGGTTCTGAACTCGCCAACATGGTCGCCAATGACTCCAAAATGGTCGCCAAAGTCGCCAACTTGGTCTCCAAAAATAATGCCAACTTGGCTCTACCGCCAAGATTTCGCCACGTTCTCATTGAATCGCCGTTATAACGTAGGGGACGGAATTGCTTGTGAGTAGCACAATTTTAATATGAAATAAATATAACATAGAGTAATATAAATTCATTAAACATAAAATTACAAATTATTTACACTATTTACACAAAATTCGTAACACTATATATATATATAGTATTATAAACTCGTTTTAAAATCAACGCCAAAATAATATAAAACTATTAAAATAAAATTGAGAACTCATGACATATGTTTGAAATGATATAACAAACTTGCCTTAAGATGAAAAAAATGGTTAAATAGAAGTAAAAATAAATCTGAAAAAATGCATTTGAGAGAGTATTATTAGCTTTTATTTAGAGTAATATTTTCAATTATAAGTAATATTTTCTATTGACCATCTCAATCGTTTTCAACAAATTTTCCTTCAAAATTCATTGTAGAATCTATTCCTTTAAGTGCCATAAAAGCGACAAAATTTTATTAAGTTTATAAATAATAGTCCTTTCTGTATAGAAAAAGAAAAGAATTTACCAGGCTCAAAAGAACTAGGCCTTAATCAGAAAAATAAACAAATTATGTTCATCCTTGTTTGGCATTATTAAGCAAAAGATCGCAAATTGTTTTGAATAAGTAAGGTGATAAAAAATTTAAACCTATTAAAATAAATCTACTACTTAGTTAATGAAAATAAATTTAATTACATGCGTATTTATCGTAAATTTATTGGTTAAATTTTTCCTTCCAAGTGAACAAGAATTACATAGTTATATCAAATCATGATAACCCTTTAAGACTCAACCCTCACGATCGAGTGGGTAAGGTATTCTTAAACGTTTTTGCTTCTGGAATAGTCGTATGTTAGAAGGAACCGAATTGAACAATCGAACAAGTTTTCAGAAAGTGTTAAGCATTACATTTTATTCGATAGACGGAGGTTGTAATCCATGTTTTACTTTTAGCTGTCAAGTCTAGCT